GATGTCTGGGGGACAGTGATTCGCCTATGTTATGAATACTGCCGTACCATAAAGAATAAATCATGAACAGCTCAGTATGTGCCTTCAACTCGTTGCCCATAGGAAGACGTTACTTGGATATGACCTAATGGAATATCTTCAGAATGGCTCCAAATGACACAAAACTCATATGGGTGAGTAGAACATGATGTAATAATGTAAAATCAAGGGCCAAATGTAAAAAAAATAAACGGCGTTCCCCTTTACACTTAACATTTATTAAACACTATGTAATAATTTTATATTTAAAGTACTTTTCAGAGGTTTGAATTCTGAATATGATCTGACTTTTCTTTTAACACAAGAACAACTTCTCTGACTGAAACACATTCATTAAAACCTTCCTCCATTATCGATCTGTGGTCAGTGCTAGATTGGAGCCTCTACTTCCTTATTACTGCAGGCCTATGTGACAACTTAATCTGGACAATGACATATATGCTTTCCTGTGCTTGGTTAGTTGGAAACACTGCAAATGGAAACACCGCAAATTTCCATTTCCTTTTTTTTTTTAACCTTCATATTACATTTAACCAGAGTAACTACAGATTTTTATACTCCAACCCTTTAGGTGGCAGTGATGCAATTAAAAAGGGGCTGCCGCCACACAGAAGAGAAGACAGTTGCAGCTCAGTTCAATACATGCTAGAAGTTAGCACATTTCCCTTCAGCAGTAACGCCCTATGGCATGCAATCTATATGGCCATGCTTAGTGCAAAAAATGAAATAAAACAATTTTGGTTTGGGAAAAAAACGTGATTGCAATTTGACGTTTTGGCCAAATCATTCGGCTCAACTCTAAACCCAATTAAAGTCAACTTTAAGAAAATACTCTGTTGACTGCAAGAAGGCAGAAGAAGACTGCTTGGAGGAAGAAGGTTGCCCTATGTGCAAGATGTTCTTTCGGACAGTGGAGCACATTAGCACATCTGCAGGAACATCAACCATAACTATGTGCCAAATTCAAGGTAAAGTTTATGCTTTCTTGAATGAAAAAAGCTAAATTTAGCAACAACATTACTGAAACTAAAATTACCAGTGTTACTGAGGAATACAGCTTGCTGATAGTGCTGGTCACAAGTAGGGATGGGGATTGAAACCCGGTTCTATCGAGGACCCGGTTCCACTTTTTTCAAAACCCGAAAATCAATAACGTTTGGGCTTATCGATACCACTATCAAGTCTGGTCGTTTTTTGTTTTTTTTCCTCACGGAGGTCCTGTAACATAATTGTGTGTCCCTCGAGTCGCGTCACAGCATTTAAATCTAATCAATCCAATCACTGCAGCATGTCCACCAATTTTTTGGAATGAAATTGTAAGCAAACAGATATTAAAAGTAATACAAGTGAAGTCTGGCAGTTAACTTCACTCACGACTCGAGGATGGCTGAACAGACGAAAAGGTCTAAAGTTTGGCTTCATTTTACCAAGCTCAAAGATAAAGAAGAAGCGAAATGCAACTTATGTTGCAAAATCATCTCTTTTAAAGGGGGGAACACAACCTGAATGGCCAAGCACATTAGTATTGTGCATCAAATAAAGGCCAAATGCAGTGCCTTCGACTGTCTCCGGGTTGAAAAGACTCCTACTCCTGCTGCCGCCACACCACAGTCGGGCCCGTCTTCATCATCCACTCAGAGTACCACTGGCAAGCGCACGCAGACTTTGTAGCTTGTCCGGTCAGTTAAAAATAATAATTGTGAAATCCGTGTTGTAATCGGCAGCATACTAGCTAGTTAGCTTGAAAAGTAAATAAAGTTTCAGACGTGCTACGTGATGATGTGTTCAGATTGGCTCAGTAAAACGACAATTAGGTTATCATGATGCATTCAAGTGTAATGTAAAGAAAAGGGAAATTGAGTTTTTGGCGAGAAACATGAGTAATACAGTTGTACATTGCTCTAATTATTTTAGATTATATAATTAAACTACTGATGTCAACATTTATTAAAAATTAAATTAAATTTAAAATACAATTATTTATTTGCTAAATATTTTCCTAATCACTAAAAACATGATGAAAAGTGACAGTAGACAATACATTAACCAACAATTGTGAAAATGTATATATTTTTTTAAACCAAAAGAAGACATTTCTTCAAATACATTTTTTTCCCAACTTCCTTTCTGTCTGTTAAAAACATATTGTCGCATCGTCTTTCCACCAAATAACAGAAAAGTATCGATAGTGGTATTGATAAAGACTCGGATCGATAAGGAGTATCGATAAAGGTATCGATATCAATAAATATTAACGATCCCCATCCCTAGTCACAAGTTTCCCAGTAAGCCTTTTGTAGTTGTTGGATTTCTTATTTAACTACTTAGCTAGGCTGTCTAGCTGTGTATTCACACTTGTAATTTCCATTTCTTCGTAGCACATGTAACTTTTTCCATATAAACTTCAAAAAGACCCTAAGTGATACATTACATCAATAGAAAAGGACAAACTGTTAAGCGGTATATCCTTATTAATCTTGGCTATTAAACAGTGGAAACGCAGTCATCAGAAATAAATTCTGTTCATTAATATACATTAGATGCCAAAAATCATAAGTACCAACGTGCACGCAAAAAAGGGAGCAAGATCCTGCAAAGCAGTGAAATATTATCATTATAACTGGGATTTAATCGATTTTATTGATGGTTAAATTTGACTATAAAGATCAGCCCACGGTTCAAATTGTTTTGTTTTTTTTTCAAATACAAACATTTCAAAATTTAAATTTTAGCTGTAATACTAATAATGTCTCAAACCTGTGATATTTTGCTTATGGATATTCCATGGTCAGAATTTTATACTCCCCCATGCCTGAAGCTCAAGAAGCTAAATAAAAAAGGCCAGCTCTATCCTGGAAACTCACCCAGAACCTATAAAGATTATTTAAAAAAGAAGGACTCTTGATAAAGTAAAAAACTTTATAGACAATGTAGTACAACAGAGCATCTTAAGTCAGAGGCTTTTTGACATCAAATGCAAGGCAGGCAGCTACAGCAGATCCTTCCTGCCATCAGTATCTATTACTTGTTGAAGAAATCCCTATAAGGAAATAATATTAAATTTACCTTTGGGATTAATAAAGTCTTTAAAGTGAATTGAATTATTGCAGAGGCATTGGTTCAGCAGTGGAGCAGAATGTTTAAAATCACCCTACAGGCTAATAGGTAATCTGTACATGCACATAAAAAAAAAAAAAAAATCAACCAATTAGATATGTGAGCAAAATCTGAATTAGCCAGTGTAAGGTTGATTATACCAAAACTTTGAAATACCAGAATCAAATTTTAAATAGTATTCTAGAGGAATAAACTGGAATAAAAAAAAGATCAATTAGGAAATATATATATATATATATATATATATATATATATATATATATATATATATATATATATATATATATATATATTTTAGTGTTGCACCACTGCCATTTTTTTTTGGCCCTGACACCAATACCTGGGGTGTGCAGTATCGGCCGATATATATATGAAGAACTGCATACTACTTTGATGTAAAATAGTTGCCATCATGACAGCTGTCTACCTTTGTGAAGCAGGAAAACGACTAACACAAATGGAATCCAGTAGAACTTTTTATTATCTAACCTGAATCAAGTGACAATAGTTGAATAAACTCTCTGGCTCTCAAAATGGTATCGGTGCCAATTTGTCGGTACTCGCTGCTACGAAACCACCATCTTAGTGAAGTATCGGGGGCCCGGCCAATACTGGTATCAGTGCAACACTGATATATATTACTAAGAAGAAGGATTATAATAATCCATTTTTTCTGTCATATTTCAACTGAACACTGTAAAACAAATGACTAAGAGTTTGAGCTCTTTAAATGCCATCATTATGTCTGGACAATACAGTCAAAAACCTATATCAAGATATACTTTTAAATTTTAGGTTGATATTTTAAAATCGATATGAACAAAATAGGAAATGTGACAAGAATCTCCAACAACAGAATCCTTTACAACGCACACAGTAATTTATTCACATACTTAAAACCCCCCCAATATACCATTTTAGAAATATTTACTTTAACAAAACCACAGAAAACCCACAATTTCATTCATGACTAAATATAATCATAGACTGCAATGTAAAGTGAAATATCAGAAATGACACATCACTGCTATTCACTGAAATTATTCTCCACGCCTAACCATCACCCCCTTCAAATACATCATTTAGCACTTTATTAATGCTCTTCCCAAAGACATGGGTTGTGGTGAAATGCAGCTGATCATCTGCTAGAACACATAGCAACCTGAAGCATCATCTAAATGGGTGAAAGGTGAAAACAGGGGTGCAGCTCAACACTTTAACATTTCAATTCTGCCTGCATGTTAGCAGCAGGAAGGTGGATTCACTTAGAGATTTAATACATCAGAAAGCTGTGTCTGTCACTGCTGGTAGCTCTTGTCAGTGTAGAAGCACAGCTCTGTTCATTTCTATACAGGTCCAGAGAAACCAGCACACCTGGCTGTTTCAAGGCAGAGGCAGAGATGGGCGTACCTTCCGCTCTGCTCAGACACTTGCGTAATTCAGACCAGCCTTACTGCTCTGACTCGGTCTGGGATATTATTGGTTCTGTCTAGTAAGGAAACCCGTTATATGATATGATCTCAATACAGACAAGCAACAATTAGACCGGATCTATGGTAGTATGGCAGTAATTGGTTTGGTTTTATTTGTTTTGATTGTTTTTTGTGACCTGGGCCCCTGCCAGCGTTGCCTCTTAGGTTGGCCCAGCCCAACCCTGTCCCGTTTCGGCCTGCTGCACTGACCGGCCCCTGGTCAGTGCTGAGCGACATCCAGGATAAGCTATTCTGTGCTAACATGGCATTTGGAGCCACGGAGAGAGGAAGATCGTAGCCTATACCGGGGCCTGTGCATGCAGGGGAAGAAAAAAGGGGGTAGTTTGTAGGATTACAGAAAGGTGTACTCACTGCTGACTTTCATGCTGCCGAAAGCAGAGGGCTGCGGCACTGGTTTGCAGCTCTCGGCGAAGGATGTGGTCCTGGGCCGACCCGACATGATCCAATCCCTTTGATTCTTTCGACTTGCTAAACGACAGGGTGGCTCGATTCGCCGAAGCTTCTCATCCAAATGCAGGATGACAGTAAAATTAATATCTTAGCGTCTCAGAAGAAGAGCACAGGCAAAAAGAGAGCCCGTTAACAAACTGGTTTATAATCACAAAATAAAACTGTCCTATATTTCCCCGACGACGGGCAATCAGAGCATTATTTATCTGCTTTATAGTCCAGCTTTCCTTTCAGCGGGCCTCACAAGACACGTCTCCGACTGAAATAGTGGTGAATTTGGCCTCTCTATGTGGCCAACTTGTTTGCTAAAACGTCTTTTTCTGTGTGGTTTCCACGAATGCGAATAGTAGTTGGTTCGGTTGTCAAATCCAGAGGCAAAACGAGTCAATTCAGGGGGGGCATTCAGCTCCTCTTCATATCCCGATGTGGAGCCTCAATGATCCGACTGCCATGGCGGCTCCCTCACTATACCAGAGCTTACAGATCCTCCAACGGAAAACCTGCCGTCGCGACAGTCTTTGTGCGGCTAATTTACACCCTTCGGTCTGGTGCTCGCTCCCGGCTTCGTCTTGGTCAAATTTCGGCGTCTGTATCTCGTTCCTTAAGCGGCGAGCCTCTCAAAAACGATGGTCTAAAGATACAGAGTGCGACGATACCGAATGTCTTTTTTTACTCCTTCCCCATAGGTTTCAGGCTCGCAGTCTTTGTCGGTGCGTACGTTACGTACGCAATATTCGTAAAGAAACGATCGTCTATAGAAAGGAGTTGACCCAGGCGACGTAACTCGCGACTCTGAATACCAAAAAACGTGAATACGCATACGCTGGATCTGGGGTGGTGAGCTCAGCCAATCAGAGACGGTATCCTTCAAATGGGCGTTAACCGTGTGTTTGTGGCCCAATAAGAATGCAGATCTTTAACACCACATGGCACAATTTGCTAGCTACCCTCCCTCAAGACTTCAAAGGCTTCTGCCAGGGCCATGACGGGGACAATGGGCGGTGTTTTCAACAGGATTGATTAATTGTCCGACCAATGCAGCTTTAAAACCAGATTGTCAGTCCACCTCCTCCCCCAGCTGTCACTGAGCACCGGTGGTCATGCAGCACTGTTGCTATGTTAGTCACAAAATCCTACTCTCTGCCATTTGTGGACACCTTTTTAAACGCTCCCATGGCTACTCCAATTAATTATTTTCAGTCCCATGTGATTACAATTAATAGTGGACACGTGCATGTCTGTCAGTGTAATTCCGCAGCTTTAGATTCTTTTGCACCAGTTTTAATTATATGTAATTGTGAGAATATTATATGTAAATATCAAATCAATAAACTATATTGAATGTGTTGATTTGCATTATTATTTTATAATATAGTATAAATATGTCTGGCAAATAAACTGAAAAAATAAAAAATCTCATATTTGATTATTTTAGCTTATTTAACACAGTTTCAGTATCACCTGCTGGATACATAAACTCTTTGAAGCTAAATAGCGCCAGGGAAAGTTTCTCAGACAATGTTTAGCTTCATGCAATCATGCAGTTATAACCTCACCTATTTTCTGCATGGTTGTGGTGCAGGGGTAGAATGTGTGAACCATGTTTGATGACCTTATACCTTGATGTGACCATCAGAGTTTTGCGTCCTGGCCCATGAACTTTTGCAGCATAGCTTCCCCTATTTAACCTCCATTTACTTTACATTTTTCTGTCAAATAAAGGCTTAAAGCCCCAAACAAAAAAATGTCCTCATTTTATGATTATGATAAAGGAGAACACAAATCTGTTCTTAAAGTATTCACACTAGTGGCAAATATACTGTAGATTGAAAGCAGCTTTACTTAACCAAAGTATTAGGTCCTGGTCTAAAAATGACACATATGTGTGCATGCATACTGTGTCATACTATAATGTACAATTCTGCAAAAAAAAATAGGCAATTTCTTTCTTAATCACATTCTAAAATGTTAAAGAGCATTAAAAAAATTATTACATATATGGGAATTAGTAGCCAAAGGGCAAATGTTCAAAGATCATGTAGGGTCTTTAAAGGAATAGTACACCCAAAACATGATTAGCCTTCATTTTCTACTCACCCCCATGCTGAACAACACTCTGGAGTACTTTTTTGATATCTCAAATGCATCTGGAGATCTGGGAGGCTTCTTGCTGTCTGCTGACATTCAAATAATGGAGGTCTGTGGCGCCCGAGGCAGAAAGGTCCATAAAAGTCCACAAAAAATGTGTCAATATTCCTCCATACTGCTCGTCCAATGTATTCCAAGTGTCCTGAGTGGGTAGCATCCAGAATTTACTCAAAACGAAGTCATTAAGAATGTTTTTAGAGCATAAACAGTAGTGTATAGGATTTCCTGAAAGCGGGCACATGCGCGATCACGACGCTACGGAAGCCGGCAGAACAAACCAGCGCATTCAGCTCGGCAAAGAACTCATGCTCTTCCTCAACACTGAAGTCCTCAGACATTTTTCTTTCGTTGTTTCTTTCTTTGCACAGGTAAACAGCACATTTCTTCTTCTACGCTTGCATTATTGGCAGAGCAGACACTGAATGCGCACTTTCATCTGGTTTGGTCTGCCGGCTTCCGTAGCGTCGTGAACGTGCATGTGCGCGCTTTCAGGAAATCCTATACACTACTGTTTATGCTCTAAAAACATTCTAAATGACTTCGTTTCGAGTAAATTCTGGATGCTACCCACTCAGGAAACTTGGAATACATTGGACGAGCAGTATGGAGGAATATTGACACGTTTTTTGTGGACTTTTATGGACCTTTCTGTCTCGGTCACCATAGACCTCCATTATTTGAATGTCAGCAGACAGCAAGAAGCCTCCCAGATCTCCAGATGCATTTGAGATATCAAAAAAGTACTCCAGAGTGTTGTTCAGCATGGGGGTGAGTAGAAAATGAAGGCTAATCATGTTTTGGGTGTACTATTCCTTTAAGGCGAAATAAAAAAATAAAAAGCGCATCTTTCCATACCATATTTCCAGAGTCTTATTAGTTGATGTTTCTAGTTTTTGTCAGAAAATAACAAAATCATTGCAAAGAGTTTAATAGCACTGATTAACAGTAAATAACATTATGTATTTTGTAAATTGTTCTTTTTTCTAAATTACATTCAAAAAATCTATTTATCCGAAGGATTTAATATGGTTTGCCTTGAAGGTTATTAATACCAGAAATACAGCTTTATCTATCTTTTTTGCCTTAAAAATAAAATCAGTTAACTAAAGTTATTTTTTTTAAATCAATGTTTCCATTAACTTTCTAAAAATTATTATTAAATGTATCCTATAAGAGGAGCAAAGTATCTTATTGACAAATGTTTTAATTTTTACACACACACTCACAGAATGCCAGTTGCTTTTTCTTTCTTTTTGCTGCCTTTATGTCGGCAGTGTATCTTTTGTGTGATCTATTTATACTTTGTTGTGTTATATATCAAAGGGTGTTTCTCTAAGGCTGTCCTTCAGTGATTCGCATACAGCAAGATTTTAAATACAGGCAGCTGGGCAGAAGTAATCCAGGACCCTGTTTTCTCTTCACAGCAACTCGTCCTCCTGCAGCTCAGATTATAGGAACAACCATGGAGGAGCACACAGATCACCATAGCAATCATGCAAGACTAAGAGTAGAAACACTAGAACGTTGATTTGAAAAAGAGTAATAAATAAAGTGGCCTGTAATTAGAGAACAGTGAAATATTCTTTCAACATATATTTGATTAAATTACTAATCGTAACTTATTTTATTCTGATTTGGTGTAATAGACAAGCACAACATGGTGCATAATTGTGTACTGGATATTTGTTTTTCTCATGATTCTGCCCTTTTTGGACTTTTTGGTTCTGTTTGTTTTCACTTTGGGTTTTCAGTTAGACTTTGATTTATGTATTTCTCTGTTATTTAAGTCATTAGATTCATTTCCATATGAGTGTCTGTTGTATTTCTTTTTTCTGCATGGAGTTTGCATGTTCTCCCTGAGCATGTGTGGGTTCTCACTCCGGCTTCCTCCCACAGTCCAAAATCCTGACTGTTAGGTTAATTGGCTTCTCTAAATTCTCCTTAGGTGTGAGTTTGTGTGTGAATGGTTGTTTGTCCTTTTTGTCACTGAATTGCCCTGCAATAGACTGGCGACCTGTCCAGGGTGTACCCCGCCTCTTGCCCCATGAGAGCTCGAGATAGGCACCAGAACTCCTCGTTACTCCAACTGGGATTAAGTGTGACGGAAAATAAATGAATGTATTTATTGTTTACTCTCTGTTGGCCCTTTGTGCTCATCTCCTTCCCCCTACTCCCTTCTAGATCCTTCTGTCCACACCTGCTCCCAATCAGTTCATTACTCCATTCTTTGTTCTGCTTGGCATAAATATTCATCCTCTGCAGTTACCATTTCCTGGGTTCTCGTCACTCCTTAGGTTTATACTGTCTCCTAGTTTTTGGTTCCTGATTTTTTTGTCGATCGGTTTTCGATTATGGCCTTTGTATGTTTACTTCTTCATTAAATTTGGCAGGAAATTATCTCTGCCTCTTCAGCTCTGCATTTGGGTCCTCAAAAAGTATCCACTCATCATGACAGTTCTTGATTTTTATTTGTAGAAAGAAGATTCTGAAAAGTGTGATGAGCATTTACATATTCAGATGCCCTGAGTCAATCCTTTGTAGATGCATGGCTCCAAATCTTTTGGAGTATATCCTTGTGCATTGCATATCTTCAGAATGAAACATTTGCCCATCCCTCTTTACAAATTAACTAAGTGTTTAGCCACATTTGTTGAAATTGTATGAAGATGAATCAGTGTTCATGTTTTGCCACAGATTCCTGATTATATGATTATATTTACTCTGAGCCATAAGAGCTAAGGAATATGCTTGGATCTAAAAGAAAGTATACTGTAGCTTTGGTTGTATGTTTAGAGTCATTGTCCTGCAAGCAGGTAGAATTCAGCTGAGGTTTTTGAATCACTTTTTTGCAGTTTCTGAAATGTGATCCTTATATGATTGCCCTGCATTTAACTCCATCCATCTGATGGTCAATTTTAACTCTTTGAACTCTGATACTACTACTGCCACTGTTGTTGTGTTAAGTAGACAACATGCAGAATTGGTTTCCACTGGACCTACTTTTTCATGTATGTCATACAGTTAAGCATTATCCCAAAACACCTTCTTACACATTTCCCATTTGCTTCTTCATTGCCAGGTAAAGTATTTTAAAATATCTTGTGAATGATTAACAATTTCTAATTTGCCTTGTCTTGCCATTGACTTCTTTAAATGGATTTGGTCTGTTTCCTTATTTCCATGTCATATCTTGCCTTATTTTTGATATCCTTAACAAACTGTGAGTTCTGAAGCTTTTAAAGACATTTCAAACATTTTTTCCTCAACACTCATGGTCATTCTATTATAAAACTAGAAGCCAGCAAATTGATTAAGTTAGCTTTGTGTTTCCACCTGCTGTGTTTGGATCCTTAAAAAAAAAAAAAAAAAAAAAAACATTATATATGTATATATATTATTTTACAACATAAAATTTATAAATAAATTAAAATAAGTTCAGTGTTTACACAATTATTACCTGAATCTGTAATAATCTGCAAAATAATCTAATAAAATTTTTATCTGTATTGGGACAATTGTGAAGAGACACTTATGTTATCCTACTTATTTATATTCATACAAAAATAACTTAAAGAAATTTCATAAGATAAAAACAATTTGCACTCTTGAACAAAAAAGTCTGATAAATCTACAATTCTTAATTTCTTAAAAGTGACAGAATTTGACATCATAATTTTCTTCATATAAAAATAGAAAAAAAAATGTCTTACTGAAATTAACGCTATGTTGTCGTGCAGTACAACATTCTATTATCCTAAAATGCAACAATCATTGAGTCTGGGGCTTTAGAAGCAAGTATTGTGCTAAAAAAATATTTGCTTTTGTTGCACAAAATGGTCCAAATAATTGAGCATCTTAGGTAGGGTAAACATTTAATGGCCATCATCGCCACCAAGGTCACCCTGCAAACCAGTTATTAGATTGCTAATAATTTTTTCCCATAGGGCAAAGTTAATTTGGACGGTTTGTTTTCTTTGATAAATAAATTAACTATAAAAAAAAAAAAACACATTCAGATTATCTTTTAATACTCGATAAATCTGTTTGATAATCTTAACCATTTAAATTTCACATAAAGAAATTCATAAGGGGGAAATAATTCTTCAAAGTACTGTAAGTTCAAGTACTGTAGATATATAAATAATATATAAAGTGCTGTAAACATTTTCTCATACTAAAGTAGGTTTGAGGTCATCTTTGAACACAACGGGTCGTGGGGGTCGGTAAAGGTCCGTATAATCCTCATATTCGCCGTCAGACGAGTCTGACGAGCTGTCTGAGCAGAGGTAGGAGTCTCGCTGCAGGCAGGAATCACAGAAGGGTCGATGGTAGTAGCAGTAATCCGTGGAGCTGCTAGAGTCTGAATCCCAGTATCCACTCGAATCTCTGATGCACCGATGGTGTTGCCTGCTGCTGCAGCTCTCTTCCACGCCATGCTGAGGCGAACAGTCCTGTCCAGCACAACGCCACAGTGGGCATCTCTCAGACCTCATAGCACAACTTGGATAGTTCTTGATTGCCTCCTCTTTATCTCTACCCCCCTCATTCTCCTCCGCTGACTTTTCTAAATCCGAGACACTGGCCTGAACATAAGAACGTGCATCAGCTGGATTCTGGTGTTCGCAGGCGTTTTGTTTTAGTCCTAAATTGGGAACATCTGAGCCTGTGTAGAAACAGGAAGGGGACAAAGTTCTCCTGGAGGTTTGGAAGCGACGCCGGCGTTTTCTCATCATGTAAGGAGAGATACTTGGGTAGTTGAATACAGAAGGTGACCGAGAGGAACAGAGGGACAGAGGGGATAATGTGTTCCGTTTGGGTTGAGAAGAGGCTGTAGATGCTTCTGTGGCTGCAGCAATGCTCAGCTCCTGGATGATCTCCTGCAGCTTCTCGCTGCTGACAAAACCAGTCAGTTTTGGATTTGCCCCCATCTGCAGTGACAGGCCACCATGACCGATGAGTTCAACCTGGGAGGGATTCAGTTTTCTATGGTTTTGAAGAGAAGTAACAAAGTGAACAGCCTCTTCTGCTGTCCTTCCAGGAAATGTAAGGGATGAAGGCTGCTTCTGCTCTCTCACTCTGGATCCTTCTATGTCTCTGCTTTCAGATTCAGCGACATCTTTCTGGGTTCCACTCGGGGGTCCGTCATCAGTGAAGGGGGAAGAAACTATGTTAAAATCCACCGAGTTTTGGACAGAGAAAGTCTCAAAAGACTTCATAGGAGCATTTAAGATATGGGGATGCAGAGTGAGATCATCAGAGGTAGCAGGAGGTAAAATTCTTGATTTTGCATCTCTTTGAGAGACAGAAGAAGAGGAGGTTCCTTCAGACTGAACCTCAGTTGCCTGTGTGGAGGAGGAGTTGAATTTTGTAGTTGAAGAATCAACATCCTGGTCCACGATAGGCTGGCTTGCTGTCATGAGCCTCAGGAGTTTATCCTTGGCATTGTTTACCTGCTCCTGAAGACTATCAATCACAGCATTCTTCTGAAAAGTGAAGAGAAATATGAAAAATTGAAACCTTTTGAAAGAGAAAAAAGCTAGATATACCACACAACTGAAGAATCACACCTCAGATAGTAACTAATCCGTATCCAATCCTTGTGTTAAGATCAGGTTCCAGGTCAGGCCACTGAGCAGTGGGGGCTTTTAGCACACAATAAAGCATTTTCTAATTCTAAAAGAGTGACTCCGCTGGCCGCTACATCCGTACATAGGGGTTAAGTTATTCAATCGATTTTATGAAGCAGCAGATTTTTTTCCTGAATAATGTGTCCCTAGATGACTAACTAGAATTGAGAAGAAGTATGTTATGAGCTGAATTAACATCAGGTTGGATCAAAACAGTGTGTAAACAGGCTAACATTAGCCAGACATTTGACCAAATTGCTCCAAATGAGAATTCCTACCAGCATTATATTGGATTTCTAAATTACCTGTTTAAAACTTTGTGGGGGGAAAAGAAAACATAATTTTTTTTTATTTGGATCACTATTAGGGACAAAAGATCCTAATCTTTTTCACGAGGAAAATAAGGTACCAACATTGCCCCTCACCATGTAGCTGTTACATTTTTAATTTTTTCATTGTTCTGTCATTTTCTTTAAATTTTAACCTTTTTTTTTTTTAAGCACTTTTCAAGTATTAATAGAATCAAACCAAAGCTGTTCTCTTTACAATACGTAAGAAGGGCTCCTTTACCACTGGTTGTACCTAAGCATAACCTGGATTTTTACAAAAGTTGTCATTAAGCCAGTTGTGCTTTAAAAGTTTAATGGAAAAGGTTTCTTTACTTATGTTATGATACAATCAGTGAAGTGATTTAAGACCATCATCCATTTTCCGTCAAGATTATCCCAAATGGGGTCTCGAGGGGTGCTGGTGCCTATCTCCAGCTGTCTATGGGCGAGAAGCTGGGTACACCCGGCAGGGCAACACAGAGACAAACGACCATTCACACACACACTCACACCTAAGGAGAATTTAGAGAAGCCAATTAACCAGTGTTAATGTTTTTGGACTGTGGGAGGAAGCCAGAGTACCCAGAGGGAACTCACGCGTGCTCAGGGAGAACATGCAAACAGAACCCAGGCCGGGAATCAAACCCAGAACCTTTTTGCTGCAAGGCAGCAGTGATACCCACTGTGCCACTGAGCAGCTCATCATAGACCGTCAAGATCAGTTAAATAAAAGCCCTTATTTGGAAATAACTGTGTGAATAACTAAAAACCTTGAATTCAGATACATCTCACGCACTCAGGTATGCATACACACACAGTAAGTATTTGTATTGTCTTTTTTGTCTTTATTACAGTACAGTAATAAAGACAGTGAGAAGCACAAAAGATAGATAACCATAAGTTTTTAGTAAATTAAATAAATTAAAATATTTAGTAAAGCAAATTCTGAGTGCAGGATAACTGTGTCTGAGCATCTCTTGTGGACTAGGTAGCATGGTCATGGTCTACTGATGTAGTTGGAGCGTGACTATTGAACCTTCTAGTTCAATCCACTCTATGAACCGCAACAGGCAAAGGAAGTTAATGCCAATTTTTCAATTAAAACCTAAAAAAACAGAAGACCTCATATAGTTGTTCATGGAGCTGCATATCTAAGGACCACTTTTGGTTGTCAATGCTGACTGCAGTCCACTGCTGAAAGTGCTGATAATAGGCACCGATAAACAATTATTTCAGCCCATAGTTTAGTTGAGATAAATGCATTTTACCCAGCTTTTTAGCAGGGCAAGAAACGTGGGCCTCGGTGACTTCATTTGAATAAAAAAGATCAGTGTATGAAATACTACACCACCATCTCTGTTTAAATTAACGTCTTTATGAGCAAAACATGTGAAATTACCTCGCTCAGGAGCTTTTTCATTGAGCTGTTTTCCCTCAGCAGGAAGTAGAACTCATCCTGGCTGTACACAGACGGCTGGCTCTTACTGGGGCTGCTGAAATACTTGGCCATCTGACTCGGGTTGTTCTGATCCTCTTCAAAATGCCGCCACTGCGTCAACTGCAACAAGTCAGGTTGGATATTTGAGAGTTTTCTGATTTCAAACAACATACACTCCTGCACTTTTTTGTTCCATTACCCCTCAGGTGCATTTAAAAAATGCAAAATGACTGTCTTACTGCGTCCAACCTCAGCACCGATCGCACGTTGTGAGAGGCCTTGCTTATGCAGCTCAACAATCCTACCACGTTCAAAGTCAGTGAGCTTTTTTGCTTTTGCCATCAGGAGGTCTTGACAGTGTAAAGACTTGACAGAAAATGTCACGGAATCCAGATTTTTGCACAGCCTTTGGCTTTTAAAGACTATGGTCTTAAACTTTTGATCAGCTGAAAAAATAATGTTTGAGTGTAAATGCAGTTTTCAGAAAATTCCCCGCTCAAAAGTTCTTGTCTCTTGCACTGATTTTTTTCCTTTAACATTGTGAAGCTCTACTTTGAACCTTCTTAAGATCCAATAGTGCAAAATGCAAATTCTTGCAATTTTTTCACTGGTCTTAAGATTTTGATCAGGAGTGTATCTTCATATGAGATGTAAATCCTTTCAAGAACATCTAGGCTGTGTTATAGTGCAATGCTCATTCTCCAAAAATTTCCCCTCCCTCCCACTAAAGAGGCATTCCTTTATGTTAACGTAAACCTGCTGTTAGACTCTAAGAAAAGTCATAAACCTGTTTGCAGCAGCCAACAAAGCTTTGACTCATTAGTAGGACTTCTGTGTGAGTCATCTTCTCCTGACAGACATCGAAACCTCAGCAGTGAGTACAACAATCTCATGTCAGGTTTATTGGTTTTACCCTTAGAACAGCTCATACACACTGTCATCTTTCCATCTGTTACAGTTTCTGCCTGTGGAACTGACTTTTTTTTATGACAGATGAAAAATAAAGTTTTATTGCATTTTCAGTTTTACATTGAGACTGTAAAGCAAATTAAATACAAGACAGGGTAATAAATCTAATAAGTGAATTATTCTAAATATTTTTTCTTGAAATTGATTACAATCCATGTTTTGATAGTAAAGTCATGCATCTGTTGGGTCTAACCTGCGGCACAAACAGCATGCAGTTAGTGGCCAGTGTGCAGATGAAGATGGCTCCAGCCACAGTGCTGTAGACCAGGTTGGTCCAGGTGTGCAGGTAGACGAACACAGGGACGGCCACAGCGGAGGAGAGGGTAACCAGAGTGACGGCCGTTATGATAGTGGGAGACTGGTTGACTGGAGGATGGCTGACATTGCTGGTGAGCCCAGCCAGGTAAGTGCCATACAGGAGAAGACAACCCTGGATAAAGAGGGGTAGAAGTTAAAGAAAAATGGTCCAGTTTGTGTGTTTGTTGACTCAGATTTAGCTCTAAACTATGTGGAAACAGTATAAACTATAGATGTTGTATATATGTAATACATCTTATTTAATTAAATATTATCTGATTTGCACATTTATTGTGACTTTAAAAATAAACACTATAATGTAGATTGACAGGAAAGTTTTTAGCAATAACCCCAAATATATTTTAAGAGGTTTAGTACAAATGTATTGATTTTCATAATAATTTCAGTGCAAGGAAGGATAATTGCTGTGAACCTAATTTTATTGGTGAGGATATTTCTATTCTAGAAGTAACAATGCAGATAAGGTGCAATCTTGACAGCTGATTCACATTTCAGAAAGTAACACCTCACAAAGATTTTCTTTTTTTTGTTTTTCAACTTTAAGATCATTATTATTTAAGAGCCTAAAAAAATGTGTTTTTAGTACTGGATCTCAGACCTTATACTTTTATTGTCACCCTTGGTGAAGGCGTTTAAAAAGTCTTGAGATCAAGTGTCTTTTATTTCATTGACATAAGCTCCCACTGAAATATCCACACAAAATTTAGGGAACATATTATTTTTTTTGTTTTAATAAATCACCAGTGCCACACTTTGTAGGAGAGTCAAAAAATGTGGATGATCAGAACACAGTGGTTCTTTAGATTTTATAAGGGCAAGACCACATTTTGGCTACTTGCTAAAGCAGATGACAGCAAGTAGCGTCTGCTTTAGCATGTGGTTGAAATGTGTTCTTGCCCTCATTAAATTTAAAAAGAATCACTGACTTCTAGTTGGTATTACTCTTAAATCGGTATCCATGCATTTCACTCTATTTACTCAATGAAGTTGGGCAAACTTCTCTTCTCCCTTCATTAGTCTAGAAACTGTTATTAGACAATGCATGACTTCCTGTTCCCAGCTCTATAAATTTGACAAAGACGACCATGGTATTGTTCCATATAAAAATGTGCCATTTAAAAAGACAGGCAGCTGTGGATTTTCATAGATCGGGAAAAATCAACAACAACATAGCTACTTGTCTATACTGGCTCTCCATTATGAGCAACAATAAAAAAAAAGTGCAAGGCTGAATGGTGACCTGTTTAGTCTGTTTCCAACATGAACTGTGAAAAATATTGAGGTTTTAAACAATATTCTAAGTGACGTTCGAAAACTCTATCCATTTTAGGGCATGTTTCAGCATTTGAAGATGACTTTTCACATCTTTACCAAAGATGCCAATGATTGTGGCGGGACCTTTTCAAGTTAGCTTTGGTATGGGGATTTTTCTGCCCATATTCACTTTACCTCTTTATCTCTGCTATTTCAAGTCAGTGAGAAGAAGCCCTCTGGATATACTCATCTATCTCAGAGAAATTTAACATTTGTTCTCTCCAGAATTGTCATGATCTTGGCACTGATGGCAGGCTTTCATTCACCTGTCTAGCTCTGCCTTGTTTCTCATCACTGCTCATCTCTTCCACCTGCTCCTGCTTATATTTAAACTCCTTGTCCCCAGCCATCAGTGCCAGATTATTCTGATCTCTCCTGTCATCTCTGCAGCCTTCTTGGCTTCAGCGTCTGGAAATCTCTGGCAGCATCCGCTGCGTCTTGTCAGCCGACCGGCTGGAATCATCCTCGTTCTCTGGGCACGGACTGAACTAAAACCAGACATTCCTGCTTTAGACGTCCTAGCCACGGATACTGCAGATCCACAGCTTGTCGTTTGAATAATTGCTTTTTAAGTTATTCCCCCGTCTGTCTTGCCTGAATTCTGGGTCCCTCTGTTCTGAGTCATTACAAATATGTATAAATATGGCTAAAAAATAAAGTGTATAAACTCTATCACTGTGAAAAGGTGGAAATGTAGTAAATTAGTGGTTTGTCACTGCAGAAAAACAACTAAAAGTGCTGCTTACTTTCTGAACAGCGGTAATGATGACCCATATATTTGAGTAATCAGATGAACAAGAGTCCAGTTGTGACAACGGGTAGGAGGCGTCTCTCTCAGTCACCTGTGTGAAATAAAACGGAATATTACATGAAAGTTGACACATTTGGTGGATTTATTTTAAAGTGTGAAAAAAATCTACTTTTCTTGCACTGTTAAATAAGTCAAAAACATTTTAAAGCTTTAAGTCTTCAGGTCCAGCCGTGGCTCTTTTGTATGTTGCAGGTGATCATCATGACCACCTGACATATAAATCAATTTGATAAATTACTGTTGGGTCATTATAATTCTCACCTTGGCAACATCTCGGTCAAATTGCAAACACCTGACAGGGTCTGTAAGAGTCCAAGTGGTGAGAACCAGAATGTCCAGCAGGATCAGGAGAAACACCATGCCAATCAGCTGGATGTCTCGAATGATCTGAGGCAGAATCAGAAGTAAGAATAAAGATGAACTCTTTTCACCCGAAAAGCTTCAACAGGAGGAAACTCCAACTTAAAGCATAAAAACATCTAAGAGTGATTCAACACCAGGGCAATGTGCAGCCATGCAACAGTGAGGGCAGGTTGATTCTCTTAAAAATAATTAACTATTAAAAAATAAAATATCAGAAGAGCACAAGAGGACAAGATAAAGACTGTTTTAGAATTAGATTCTATCTAAAAGTATATATATAAAAAAATTAAGTTATCAGGTTTTAAAAATATATTACAACAATAGTTACACATAGTATTTTTCTCTAATTGAAGCTGTGTCGCAGATGTTACTATGCCTGATATATATGCGATAAAACAAACAAAATCTTAAATTCCCAAGCTCCCCTGCAGGATCTTTTTGAACACCTCTCTGGTCTGCTGTGTGAAGAAAAAGCCAATGTTCTTAACCTTTCCTATGGTGATGCTTTATAAATAAGAAAGGAAAGAATATCCTGGATATAAGCTGCAGAAATTACTGTAGTTTTCTTCATAGGGTGGCTGGGCTATGCCATAGTGCTCATTTGCTATGATAAAATTAGCTTTAAGCGCTTACTATGCAGCAACATTATATGGGATGCAGCTGCTGATTTTTTGCTTTGCTTTTTTATGTGTCTGCCCTTCTCTTACAGGTTGTAATCTTTGTCAGCACCATTCATAGCAGTAGGTTGCAGATGCATTTACATTCTCACAAGGCAGAATTGGCTTAAATACTAAAACAGTAATTATTAGGACTATACTTTTAATAGAGAGTAATAAGAAGACAATAAGGTGCCTTAAGTAATACTAAGGAACATGACCAACAGCAAACTAGAAGAGCATGCCCACCACTCTCTTGTCTGGAACACGCTGAGTGAAAACTCTGTAAAGTCTCCAGGTCTTCCCCAAAATTGGTCCAAAAACGAGGGTGCCTCCAACACAAAGTGTCCACATCCGAGCCTGGAGAGGAGAACACCTTAGGGATCACCTTAACATTTATATCCAAAAGTAAAAAAAGCACAGCCAAGATTTAAAAACTTACTTGAAGCATAGTAACAGGCACCTCAGCTTGTGTGGGAAATGGCTCCTGGACTGCAAACAGAAAGCCGCTGATATATGTGAGGATACTTCCAAAGAGAGTCATAACGTTCAGGTTGGGACTGGACATCTTCACTATCCTGATGGAACAATGCAAGCAAAGTGAAATATCTTTTATTATAGCCGGGGTCTGTCTCTTCATAAATGTATTCTTAATCCTCCTCTATATTATTAAACATATTTATTACTCTACCTGTTGTTTTTGAAGCGCAGGGTGAATGACAGAAAGCAGAGTGCCAACAAGATGCCAGAAGACAGCATTGTCCAGACAATGGCTCTGATCACTGGAGAGAGGGTTTGCCTCGGGATGTCTGCTGCCAACTGAACAAACAAACGTTTATTCCTCAGAAAATCCCATGAACCTCCTGCTCCTGTCATTATGGCATGCTTATATGTGTCCCAGATCCCAAGTTTCTTCAATCCATGATGCAAAAATTAAAACCAAACACGGATTCATTATAAAAGTCAGAATTTTATTGCAGGAAAATAATCATCAAGGGTTACAAAACAGGATCATAAACTGCAAATCATAAAATGGTATTAGGTTTATTGAAACAATTGAAACATCATAAAACATAAAAGTATTGAGCAATTTAGGTGGTCAAAGGCAAGATAATAAGAGGTGTCAAGTTGACCCCACTGTGATTCCTTCGAGGGTTGAAGTAGGGGAAAAGTCTCTCAGTGAAAGTGTATCCGATGTATGTGTAAACATGGGAATGAGAGTCAGAGTTGTAAAAGGAAACCTGCCCCCCCTCCATGTCCACATACACCCCAACTGTTTGGGGCTTTTCCACTAGTGGCACTCGGACAGGAGGGCTGCTGAGTGCCCAGTAGCTCCCATCCTGCCTCATCCCCAGGGTCCAGTAGCCTCGTTGAGGGTTTAGCAAATTCCCACCTTTTCTATTGACTGACTCCAGTCCTACTCCGATATCCCATTCAGTCTTTCCTTTCACCCGGACCTCGTAGTAGAACCTTCCGAAGGAAAACCCCTCCTTTCCCAGGACGCTAACACAAGGGTAAAATCTCTTTGGATTGTCAGGGAGGTTTACGGCCACATCGCTGTGATACACCTGCTTCCTGTCTTCAGAAAGCACCAATTTAGGGTGAGCCGTGTCTGGATCCAAAGTCACATCAACAGCACATGCTTTGACCCGCTTGAATTCAACCTCACAAAGTCTCTTTACCTCTGCCTTTATGGTCTCCTCAAGCTGGTTTGCAGTTTTCCTGAGTGCTCTCCTAACCATCCCCACATAAAGTGCACTTTGCACACAAACCTCAGACCAGTCTTTGACGTTTGGTTTAGTCGAGAAAGCTGGAAAACTGTGGAGAAGGTAGAGATCATCGGTTGTCTGAGAGAGCAGCTCCAAATCTATGCTTTTGTTTGTAAGCTGATCAATCTCTTGCTCAAGCTCCATCATAATACCAGTAGTCTTGCTTGTGACACACCTCTCTGCTTTGCTGAGATAGCCTCAACCACTTCTGTTTGGCCGGTCTGAACAACTTGCATTAGTTTGTTGAAGACTTGCAAACTCTCTTCAACCTCCTTTTCTGCATTTCTTTTACTGAGCTGAACAGCTTGACTGATCTCGCACATTTTCTGCAGCCGGCTGTGGATTCCTTCTTGCACTTCCGCGTTCATGCTCGCAATCATATCTCTCCTCTCTCTGCTTTCATGATCTATAGGAACTGTTTGATGTGCCTTGTGGTCTTTCGCAACACAGGCCTGGCACACGTACATCTGGTCAGTGTGGCAGAACAGGTTCAGGAGGCTCTTGTGCTCTTTACACAGTCTGTCCTGCATGTTCATCACAGGGTTGATAAGAGTGTGTTTCTTGAGGGTGTCTAGAACAAGATGGGGCTCCAGATGAATCTGGCAGAATGAAGCCAAACAATCCAAACAGGATTTCAAAGCTTTTACCCGTTTATCAATGCAGACATCACAAGCAACGTCTCCCTTAAAGCTGAGCTGGGCCATACTACCAAGCTCATCTTTATACTTCATTTCCCCGTGCTCTTTAAATTGAGCAGCCACCTCTGATATGAAAGTGTTGACTTTGAGGTCGGGCCTCTTGTACAGCTTATGTTTACACATAGGGCATTGTGGCAGATTGGTGCTCTGCCAGTATCTCTGGATGCATTCACGGCAGAAGTTGTGCCCGCACGGAGTGGAGACCGGCTGGTTAAACACATCCAGACAGATGGGGCAAAGGAGCTGCTCCTTCGACAGAACACTGGCGGCTGTGGCCATATCTGGATACACACCCAGAAAGAAGAGGAAAACAGGTGGGATTTTATGGAATAAGTTGGTTGGCTTTTTTTATTTTTAGTATCAGTATGTTACTAGGCTTAAAGAAAACGTGCGCCCTGGTTAGCCCCAAACAGCAACAAACACACAGTGTTATGTTTCATCACAGGTGTCACATGTTAGCGAAAAAGTCTTCATGTTAGCTCTGCTTAACAAACAATAGTACAGCAGAATATTTACTGAAATAGAGGATTAAATACCACAACAAAAACCACTAACAATTTGGGTCAAAATGTTGACTTACTTCAATGCAATTATTAGCACTTAAAGCCACAAAGCATAAGTTGTTTCCAAGAGATGACTCACCTATTTTTGGTTCTTTAAAGAGAGAAAGACCCAATTGTGTTCTTTGTCAAAGTGTTTCCTCTGCTTTGTCTTTTATTTGAGAAGTCGGATTACACTTCCTTTCGTCTGCCTTATGTTGTTGGTCTGTGCTCACTCTTCTCTTTAAGGCATCGAGGACAGAGGAGATTCTAAACATAGCTTCACAAGTCCATCCCCATTACCTTTCCAGATCTCAGCTGTCTCCAGCAAGAGGAATAGTATTGCAGTTCAAGCAAACGGACAGACATAAATGCATTTATAGGAAATGTTTCACTTATAAGAAGAATAACCAAAACGTGCCGAAACAATTTACAAAAAAAAATCAAAAAGCAAAGAACTAAAAGGAGAAAGAATATAAATGTGAAAAACTACAAATAGGTCATCAATTCCAAAAGAAATTTGCTTTCAATCATAATCTGCAAGACACATTTTCTTTCAGCAAAGGAAAGCAATCCTGAACCATGTTGTACTAAGTTATTTTATGAACAGAACACCTAACCATCTACCTTACCATTTGGGAAGTTTGAAGCTGAAAAAGAGAGATAGATATTTATCCATTTCCCTTAGATCAAACATTAAAGAGTTTGGCTTCATTCCTGCCGGACCGTTTCTGTGCTGATTAGATCTTATTTCATATACATTTTCTTTTTACATGCCTTTCTTTTGCACAAAAGTAACACAGGTTGTATATATTTTGAAAATAAAATATCCTGATATTTAATAGTCTGCAATGCCAGGCTTCCTCCTCATGTCTTTGGGACGTTAAGTTATAGGGTCTAAATTTTGTTGCGTAGTGTTAATAACTGGCGGATGAACCTAATTTCAGTGCAACAACAATAAGCTTTTGGAGTTTTCTCATTTGTCTTTCCTGTGCTACTCAAGGTTTGTTGCAACATATTCTGAAGTTGAAAATTGTACAATATTCTACTACTTTTTAGATTCTGCTCTGGTTTTAAGTATTTAGCTTTTTTCCTGTAGCCTTTTTCCGAGTTAATAAAATGAAATCTATTATCTAAGTAAAGTTCACATTCCATTGTCTATCCTGTTTCCATTTTGTAGAGAGGCTAGGAGAAGTGGGATTCCTTGTATCATTATATATTTTTTTTTATCTTATCCGCACATTGAACATTTATTGAAATATGATTTTATTTAACTTGTGTAGATGTGACTGTACATCCTGGTACTATATCAGCACTTGTATTTACTCTAAGCTGCATAATTAACAATAAAAGCAGAAAAATTATGAAACTAGAACTAAAGACATCTTTTAAAGAAAGCAGTTGAACATCTTTACCTTTCATTAAGAAAATTTTTTATTTTTTATCTATATATTTACAAGACAATATTATATATGTTTAGATTTCAAAGCTGTTAAAAGCGAAACATTTAGAGGGATCTCTGGAACCGTAAGTTGTGTTTGCAGTTGGATTACTATTACAGCCAACATGGAGGTTTACTGGTGCATATACTGTAGGAAGAAACTGGGCTTCACAGCCTAAAAGAGGCTAGGAACTGGTCCTAGTATTTATGCTAGTGATGATAACAAAAATTCCTCTAACATTGTGTGAGTCTAAGAACTAGACCAGTATCTTGGCTGGACTCATTCTAATTCATTTTCTTCTCCTCTACATTTTCTTTCCTAGTCTGGTTATGGGTGTTTAACTTTAATAACAGGCAGTGAAAGGACATAAAAAAATTTTAATATGAAGATTTGAATTGAAAATACTAGTCGGCTTTTGCTTGGTACAGTGTTTATAACCGTTGTTTGACATGCATGATAGTTGCCATGATCACAAGCAAAATTAAAGAGATTTCCAAATAATTGTGTCAGCCTCAAAAACATCAAGCCAAAACATTTAAATGTGTGAACACAATACATCAGTGTATGAAAATGAAAGCATGACAATAAATCTTTACAACACTGCCACAAGCCTTTAAGTCTGATTCAAGTATCAAACAGAAGACCTAAGGTTGTTAGTTGTAGGAATAAAAATTGCTGCCTAATGTGCAAGAAGCAGCATGTAGCTGGAAACCTGAACAAGCATCAGTTTTATAACACTAACTCATTTAAAAGTAGTATTATAAGATGCAGAAACCCATGCTTTTAGCATAGCAACAAAAGGTTTTAAGAAGACTCAAAATAAATCAGTCATTTATAGTCAAAGAATAATCTTATACTGAATTAAAGCAAATAACTTTTAACTCACCTAACAGTATAACTAACAACTATTATAAAATACATATCACTGAAGCAGTTTTGTGCTTCATTTATTTGTTTAAAGATGACCAAAATCTTTAGAAACCTTAAATCAGTAATCAAAAACCTAAGTTAAAGCCAGTGAGATTCTTTGTCTCACAGACAGTATAGAATCACAAGGGAATGAACACAAATGGATAAAAATAACCAATGAATGCAACTGAGATTCATATTCATTTGTCAATTCACCAGAAGTTAACTGAGCCTAAAGAGTCTATAGTGTTGGGCTCATTATGCTGTTTTTTTCCCCATTGATTTCTATGTATTTAATATATAGCTCAGTATTATCCCCAGGGTAGGTAGCCATTTTTGTTTGATTGGTAGGCAGAAATTCTCCGCTTTAGACCACCCACTCCTGTTGCATTTAATTGTATGCCTGTTTCTTAATTGAGCATCTATTTATTTATGTATTTATCTTTAATTAGGTCACAGTTAGTCCACATTAGGATCTTATTTTATTTAATTTCTTTATTTGATCAGGGACAATGCACA